AACAAATAGATCATTCTCTTGTAGTCATCGCAACACTTCTCATACAAGACGTCAATGTTTGTCCTTATCATTTCCAAAAATGAGAATGTCGTCGAGATATATCATAACTTTTCCTTGACAAATCAAGTTGCTTAAGATGTTATTCATCACAGCTTGGAAAGTTGCTGGTGCATTGGAAAATCCAAAGTACATTACTGTGACCTCAAAAAGTCCACACTTTGTAATGAACGCTGTCTTCCATTTGCCTCCTTCTTTTATTTGCACGTTGTTATAACTCCATCCTAAGTCAATCTTTGTGAATATTGAAGCATTGCTTAAGACATCTATGAGGTCCAATATACGTGGAATAGGATAACAATTTCTGACTGTAGCTGCATTCAAGTTTTGGTAATCCATTACTGGTTGCAACGATCCATCATGTTTCTTTACAAAGAAAAAAGGTGGTGTGATAGGACTTTTTGATAGTACTATGTATTTTTTACAGAGTTCTTCTTAGATCCAAACATCCAAGGAGTTTTGCTCATTGATGGATAAGAGATAGATTTTTGCAGGTTTAGGAAAGGAAGCATCTTTTACTAAATCAATTGCATAATCGTATTCTTTACGTTCCGGCATGTGCTCTGATTTAACCTTACTGAAGACAGTATCATAGTCATGTACTCAGGCTGGAACTTTAGATTTCTAATCCTTAGTGTCTTTGTTGTCCAAATCTTCCTCAAATTCTCTGACAAATGGTTTGTCAAGAAGTTTCATAACAACTTCTGCTTGTGTACAGTCAACTGGTGATTTTACATTGACTCAGTTTATATGTGGTACATCTGTGTCTGCAGCTTCTAAATTGTCCAGGTTTGCTTTCCACGGTAGTTCCAGTGTAGATTTGCTTATATTGAGCTTGCAATCTCTTCATTTTACTCTTTTGTTGATACGAGTTTCAGAACATCTGGTGAACTTCCTTAGTCCTCTTTTCCAGTCTATATCGGAATTATGAGTGACAAGATACGTGTAATCTATAAGCACATCTTTATCTCTGAGGTTGGTAATATAAAAGTAGTGCGTGGTTTCATGATCTCCTACAACCATGTAGGCTTTAACATAGTGTGTTATTTGCCTGATTGTATTAGGAGTTTCATCCATGTTTATTATTTTAAACAGAATTGCTAACTTATTTAAAACCAGATGATTAGTTTCAATGAAACATCTGTCAATGAAATTTGTTGTGGCCCCTGAATCTACTAAAGCATTGGTCTGCATCTTTTTGCTGTATACCTACAGTGCAATACAAATTTTAAATGACCTCTTCTTGTTTTAAGCTGTATTAAATACATAAGAATTCTTTACTACTGTACAAGCCTCTTGGGCTGATTCAACATGGGTATCTTTATCCTCTAACTCTAGGTCGCAGACTTCTAGAGTATGTTTGGAAAATCCTCATTGTTTTTGTAATATGACTATCAAAAAGGTTTACTGGTGCTGGACCTTGCCTTGGTTTCACCGTCCAAGGTGACCTTCAATGAAGAAGCAACTGGTTCTTCTACTTCAACAATGCTTACCATTGTTGCCACTTCAGTTACTGACAGAGCATCCAGTGACAACTGGTTCATCTCTGTCATGACTTCCATCATTTGTGCTTGAAGTCGACAGTATTGGTCTTGGTTATGTCCTCACCTTTAATTGGCTGGTTTATTACTCGCAGCTTGTGTACTTGGCCTTAGTGCTGGAGTTCCTGTAGTCTGCTGTGATCCTGTTTTTGCCATTCATTTAGGTGCCTTTTCTGGGTTTTTAAGCTAGCAATCTACAGTATTATGCATTTTGGCCTTAGGTTTATTATTTTTGGCACAATGCTAACAGTACCTGTTTCGTTATCTTGAAAGCAGTCTCAACTTGCAGCTTACCTATAGTCCTGCTGCAACGAATGAGCTGTTTGTGATGTATTCAGACTCTGACTATGCTGGGGACAAGGACACATTGCGCTCTACTAGTGCATATGTGGTCATGATGGGTACTGGAGCTATAAACTGGAGCAGCAAGCTGCAGACTGTGGTTGCACAGTCGACCACAGAAGCTGAATACATTGCTGCCAATCAGGCTGGTTGGAATATTGCCTGGATGCGCAATCTGCTCTTTGAGTTTGGTTACAATCTGTCGAGTTCACTCTCTAGGCTCTATATGAATAATAACTCTGCTATTGCAGTAGCAAAAAATCCTGAACACTTTGAACAACTCAAGCACATTTAGCTGCAGCTTTATTGGCTGCGCAATGTGCTTAAAAAGGGACAGATTGCTTAAAAATATATTCAGACTGACTTGATAATTGTGGACCTGCTTACCAAGGCACTGCCATTGGTTAAAGTGGCTACACTGCATTGGTCTATGGGCTTGGAGTAGATGCAGTGGATTTGGGGAGAGCTTTGGATTCAAAGGCATGCTGCATCAGGGAGAAGTGTTATTTTCTGTGTTGTATGTGATGCTACAGCTTTTTTGCCCTATCATCATTCTTCTCTCCCATATTTCTATATTCTGAAATATCCTCATCTTTTTCGCTATTTTTCTTCACTTTCTATTCACAGTAGACCACTACTTCATCTGCTCCAGTGTTAGACTTGGATCAGATTAGATAAGTAGATAAGCGCCTTGTGATGTGCCCTTATGGCTCTGGAGGCTTGTATTTGGGCCTTTTTCAGTTGCTCATCTACAATCTCCAGGTCAGTAGTTGTATTTTTATCTTAATAGACTTCAGTTGTGGTCTTTAGCACTCCTTTGGTCAAGTTTACCTCTCAGGTCAAACAGCAAAAGGCAAAGCCAAGCAACAGGCAAATTCACAGCAAACAGTTAAAAGTAAATGCTTGACCACTTGCCAATGCTCCTGACCAGGATTTGCATTGAAGCGAGCCAGGAGCAAGACAGTGTAGGCAATGTCAGGATGGATACAGATGGCCAGGTACATCAGAGAGCCAACTGCGCTGAAACAGGGCACATTGTGCATGCTAGCCTTGTTCTCTGGTATAGAAGAGCCGCCAACAGCAGAGAGGCGTTTTCCCGGATCTATAGGCGTCTGAACAGATGCAGAGCTCAAGAATCCGTACTGCTCCAGCATATTAAGGATGTACTGGCACTGTGACAGCTGAATGCGGTGATTCAGACGGTCTCTAGTAATCTGGATGCCCAGGAGAAACAATGTGGGACTAAGATTGTGCAGTTTGAAATGTTGAGACAGCTCCTGCACGATTCGGTCAGACTCTGCAGCATTGATTGAAGCAATGGTAATGTCGTCAATAAAGACAGGCATTATGATACCCACTGTATCCTTGCAATAGAAATAGAGCAAAGCATCAGACTTCAATCAACTGAAGCCCAGCTTCTCAAGTGTTGCATGCAGAGTCTTGTTCCATACTTGCAGCGCCTGCTTAAGCCTATAAAGAGCCTTGTGGAGGCAAAAGACATCACTTGGATTGCCAAAGTAGAATCCATCTGGCTGTTTGATGTAGACCTCCTCCTTTAGCTTGCCATTGATGAAAGCATTGAAAATGTCCAGTGAGCGTAGATCGAGGTCCTCAAGAGCAGCAAGGGCAAGGACAATGTGAATAGTTGCCATGTGCACAGTGGGAGCAAAAGTCTCGAGGTAGTCAAATCCAGGGTGCTGAGCATAGCTCTTGACCACCAGTCACGCTCTGTTGTGATTAAGGTCACCATTGGAAAGGAATTTCTGAATAAAGACCCAATGCAAGCCAATGGCCTTCTTGCCAGGAGGCAAAGTGCAAGGCTTCCAAGTGTGATTGGCAATAAGTGTGTCAATCTCTGCCTGAGCAGCTCTTTGCCACTTCTCTGCATTTGAATGCTTTATGGCCACATCCCAACTATTAAGCCAAGCATTCTGCGCAAAGGTTGCCTTGATGCACAGCTCATCAGTGGATGCTTCAGACAGAGCTTTCTGAAGGCCGTCATTGTCCTCATCCACATTCTCTTTGTCAGAGATGGAATCCTGCACAGGCTGAGGCAGAGCAAAAGGCTGGACCTTCCACCACTCGCCAGAAGGCCTGACATTGTGCCTGAGATGACGCTCTGCCAGTGACAGTTCAGAGGACTCGATGCAAGATTCAGAAGGCCTAGAATGCTGCTAAGAATGAGCAGAAGGTGGCTGAGGGAATGGAGAGGAGGAAACAGAGGGTGAATTGGCTGGTGAAGCATGAGAATGGACTTGATGATTGTCTGCGGTGGCTGAATGCTCAGCAGGCTCGTGTTGAGCACTACTATGCATCTTCTCCTGAACATGAGGCTGAAGAGGATTCACAGAGCCGGAAGACAGACCAAAAAATGAGTAGAACTTGTCCTCATAGGTGGAAGCTGGCGGGGAAGGCAACAAGAGCAGGTGGGTGCGGAAAAAAGGGGCATCTGACTAGTTCCTGAGGCCAGAGAGATATTGCTTGTCAAAAACAACGCGTTCGGAGATGATAGCTCTCTTAGTGGACAGATTGTAGAACTTCCAACCTTTGTAACCAGGTGGATAGCCAATAAACACACACTTTGACGTGTGAGAGCCCAATGCACCGCATTTATCCTTTTGCACATGCATATATGCTAGGCAGCCCCAGATGTGCAAATGTGACACATCTGGTTTCTAGCCGTAAAAGGCCTCATAGAGTGTTTTGCCAGGCAGCACGGTGGTTGGACAGCGGTTCAGAACATGCACCAGTGAAGACAAGGCCTCTTCCCAGAACGAGAGTGGTAAACCAGCCTCAGAGAGCATAGCAGTGATTTCCTCTGCAAGGACGCGATTAAACTGCTCAGCTACACTGTTCTGCTGCGGCCAATTACATACAGTGTGCTGTTTTTCGATGCTGTGCTCGTGGCCGAACTCCTCAAGCTTCTTGCTCATGTACTCGCCACCTTTGTCATCTTGAAGTGCACCAATATGCTCTCCAGTCTAGTTCTCAGCATGGGCTGTGAACTGCTTGAAAGCAGAGGTTACTTCAGCCTTGGTTTTGAGCAGAATAACAGCTCTTAGACGCGTCAATGAAGGTGATCCAATAGTGGTAATCAGACTGAGTGCAAATAGGAAGAAGGCCATGAACATTAGAATGAACAAGTTTGAGTGGTTTGGAGGCACAATTGATAAAGGATAGAAATGGAGCAGCATTAAACTTGCCTGCAAGGCATGGCTCACAAATGGGATCGGCCTCCTGCTTCAAGTTGAGCCTCATTCCAATGACTAGATCACTTTTAGATAGATCTCGAATACTCTGAAGATGTGCATGAGCAAATCGACAGTACCAGGCCATCTGGAAAAACCCAGTTTGTTAATTGAACAGTAATTAGCAGTAATAGGTGCTCTTTCAACATTCATAAGATATTATTTTATTCTTACTTTGTTAGATGAAAGGTAATTAGTTAAATGAGTTCAGCCAACACTTTCTATATGTTAGATACAGTAACTGCAGTATATATAAGCTAATTTGTTCTCTCTTCATTAGTGCAAAACTTTTAGTTTGTTAAATATGTTAATTAGTTCTCTGTTTGTCATAAAAATGTTAAAACTGTTATTTCATTCTGTGAATACTAATTTGAAGTTCTTATTATTCTATTTTTGTTAGCTGTACACTATATCTGCTAAACAGTTTATCATTTGTTCAAATTACATTATATTTGCTAATTTGTTCTCTGAGTGTTAATCATAAGTTTTTTGTATACTATTTGTGTTAAAGATACATTATATTTTTTCAGCAGTTTACTGCTTATTATGATTACATTATATTTGCTAACCTGTTCTCTCAATACTAATCACAAGTTCTTTGTATGTTATTTTTGTGAAAGATACATTCAAACTGTTAAACAGTTCACTATTTTTTAATGTTACATTATATTTGCTAATCTGTTCTTAGAATGCTAATTATACATTCTTTGTATACTTTTCTTGTTAGCTATATACTTATTCTGCTAAACAGTTCACTATCTATTAATGTTATACTATAAATGTTAATTTGTTCTTAATATGTTAGCTGCAAGTTCTTTATATACTATGCTTATTAGCTACACATTACATATGCTTAATGGATCAGGGCATTTTAGAGATAAGTGTATATGCATATTTATATTATTTAACAAATACAAATATTCTCATAGCTTAGCTATTTTAATAATGTGTTATATCTTTCAAAATAATACCTTAGAAAAGTGCTACTAGTATTTTAATGCAAGAGTTATATATATACTATTTAGTTTGTAGTAGTAATTATAAATATATATATATGTAGCAAAACTTTGATTTTTCTTTGTAGTGTTATGCATTATGTTAAATAGTCATTGTATATTTTGTAATGTGTATAAAGTCACTTACAGCTTTAAATGCTTTCTTTACATTTTTTTTACTTTGACTACTTATAATAAGTTTAGTTTTAACTTGTACTAATTTTTATTATTTACTTTTACAGTTATTTAGTTTTGTTTTTGTTCTAATTATTATATTTGTAGTTCAAAAAATGTGATGACTAGTAACATTAGCTGGATATTATTAGAATTTAAAGTAAGCTATAAATGTAAGTATAATTTATAACATTTTATTGAACTATATTTGATAATGAGTCTATTTTAAAAGTGTATAAAAATGTTATTTAAGCATCAATGAAGCACCCAAATATATGCAACATCTTTAAATACAAATAGATCATTTAAAAGAAGTTTTTATGTTTATATCTCATATTTCAAACTGCTAATTGTCAAAGATTGCAGTAATACATTTTGTAAACACATGTAGTAAAATAAATGCTGGTTTTAGAGCAAAAGATAATATATACAGCTTTTAACATCACTAACATATTATATATATATAGACTAGCATCCACATTCTATTGCAAGAACAGCAAATAGTTTTTTTTTGCTAAGTACTAGCTAATAAGCTACATACAACTGTATTTGTGTTATAGAATGTCATATCCATTCTGCCCTTTATTTATTACTATATGCATACTAACATCATGTTATTTTAACTAGCAAATTCAGTAGCTCAAGCAATAGTTGATAATCTATTCCAAAAAGCCACTGTATGTATTAAATGTTGTGATATTAGCAACTGATGGTTATATCAAATATTGTACATTTAACATTATATACAAGGGCAACAGTCATATTTAGTCTTAGAACTGTGAGTATGTGTTAAACTTCTAGATTGCACTTGGAAATTATTTGCAAGTTATTAGCTAAGTGTATATAAGTACATTGAAGTGTAAAGTTTATGTGAGCTTTATGGCTCAGTAGCTAAAGTGTGCATGTTCTAACAGATGGCCTGAAAGTAATGAGACTGAGGTTCAATTATCATTGGGGTCATTCTTTTTTTTTCTTTTTTCTGAATATTATGCTTGTATAGAGCTATCAATATGTTGTATGACATAAGAAATGTGTATAGAATTAAATTTGAGTTTGGTACATTGATTTTGAAGCTAAGAATACTGAAATAACAGTCTATTAACAAGAAATAACAGCTCATTAACACCAAATAACAGTTGATGAATATCAAATGAATAGCTAATAAACAGCTCATGAACAGCCTATGAATGAATTACTAGATTAGTGCTAATTTACTATTAGAAATGTAAGCATAATAGGGGGGGTCAGTTAATTAATGTTACTATATTAATTAGTGTTGATTAGTTAGTACTATTTAGTAGTAATTAACATTGTGAGCCCTTCCAGATGCACAGCTGTCTTCTAGTGGTCTCTGTTGGTGTCACACCTCTGCTTGTAGTTTATCTTCAAGTAGAATTATTTGTGAAGCACTCTCAGTCTTTCCTTATAAGCATATTTTTGCTTGCGACCAAAAATCCTCTCTCTCGAACATTCGAGGCAGAAGTTGACCTAACGCCTGGTTTACCTAACTTGGTTAGAAGGCAAACTTAGTTTTTCTCTAACTAAGTCTTACTTTTTTCACTCACAATATTTGGAGTCCACTGTGGGGGGTAGAAAAATCAGAGTCATGCTTGTGTATGCAAAAAGAAGACGTTGAGTCTTCATCAGTGTCTTCATTGTTGTCTTCAGTGTCAGATACTCTGCCAAGTACCTTTACACCTTCATCACCTACTTAGTCCAGTCACTTATCCTCATCTCACTCAGCAATGTTTTCAGGACAGACTCAGCCATCTGCTCAGAGCAATCTTGCCTAACAGCTAGTTCAGAACCCTTCTGCTCAGCAGCAAAACCCAGAAGGTCCCCCAGTGGTTATTACAGCAGCAGTTGTGGATCTACCACATCCTGGACAAAAGGGTGCACTAAAGAAGTTTAAAGGCAAGCACTCTGAAGTTGTGCCTTTTTTCCACTTCTATGAATGTCTATGTCAAAAGCACCAAGTTCTTTCTGATAATGACAAGATTGAGAACATAGTTCACTATTGCTCTCAAAGTATGCACAAGTTTATGCAAGGCCTTAAAAGCTATTATCGCATGAACTGGACTGAGTTTGTCAGAGATGTCAAGAAGTTCTATAAAGCAGACAAGGATGACAAGTCGTTCATGATACGTGATCTGGAGAAGCTCTCAAAGCATACCAGGACCAAGTTCCTTAGAACCATGGAGGCATAGAACAAGTACTGTCATGATTTCATTCTCATCGCAGAATGGCTATAGCAGCAAGGACATATTTCAGATTACGACTATAACTACTATTTCTGGATTAAAATTCCTGAGTTCTTCAGGACCAAACTAGAATCAAGGCTAGTTGGACTGAACCCTCATCATAACCTGGCCAACCCCTTTCCAGTTGAAGATGTAAGCCAGGTAGCGGAAGCCCTGCTCCATTAAAATTGCTTTGACAAGGATTGTCTCATATCTGAACCAGAATCAGGAAACTCTAACTCAGCCTCTACCACAGAGGATTCAGACTCTGACTCAGATGATGATGAGCTGTCAGAAGGGGATTATTATGTCAAGAGAAAGAAATTCAAGAAGCATAGTAATAGGCAAACATCTAAAAAACATGACAGAAAGCAGAAGAAGATGAAGACCAAGAAATCTAGGAGGACTGTTAGATTTGAGAAGGCCTCTGCTAAAAACGAGTCTGATAGTGATTCAGACACTTCTCCTGCTCGACCTTCACATTTTAGAATACTTGTCAGAAGCCTAACAGAGGATGATCCCGAGGTTGAAGAGCTTATCAAACAGCTAAGAAACATGTCCATTAATGATCCTGCTTATGCAGTCACCTATTTCAAAGCATGCAATCGAAACCCTCTTGTCAAGAATTGTGTTACTGCTCCTCTTGATAAGAAGCGGCCTCTTAGATCAATTCAGAGGACCTTTGAACGAGACCCACCACCTTATCTGGCAGAAGTAGCCCCAGGGTACATTCCTCCACCCATCAATAGAAATTGCTATGGATGTGGCGGAGTTGGACATGACATGAACAGGTGCCAGCAGCTTCAGGAATTCTTCACGCAAGGAGTCATTAAGCGAAATAAAGATAACAGGATAGTCCTTAGTAACGGAGGCCAGCTCTTCAGGAAATCTGATGAAGACTGGGTCACAGCTATTAAACAAGCTATGACTCCATCAAGTAATTTCATCTCCTTCCAGGATGGTCAATTTCAAGATACAGACGGCAAAGATGAGCAAGATATGAGGGCTCATTATTTTAGCTGCAAGTCAGATGAAGACTACGCTGATAATGAGTACGACCAAGTTTTCAATGCTGCTTGTCCTGAAAAGAAAATTACAGCAGCATGCAAAGAACAGTTTGATGGTGTATGGATATCTTCGCACAGAGAACTAAAAGAGAGAAGGAAGGGTAAAAATCTTCCACCTGCCCCTCCTTGGCAAGAACCCCCTAGAGAAGCTCGTAAGACAGCAAATGCACCTAGAATTCCAGTGCCTACACCTGCCCCAAATCCAATCCCCATTGAAGTTCATCAGCCTGTTTCAATTAACGTCAATAATGATGATGCTTTTATGGAGGATGCAACTCAACCACCTAAGTCTAAGGTTGATAAAGGAAAGCAACAGACCACCCCTTTCAAAGATAGGACCAATGCCCAAGCTGGTCCCTCAGGAACTCAGATCCAAGCTGATCCTTCTGGTACTAAGACAGATGAAGAGGCAGCTCAGCGAAAGCCCTGTCGGTCTGAGTTGCAGACCATTGTGAATCCCAAAAGTGTCATGGACAAGCTGCTAAATACTCAAATTACTATGGCCATGGAAGAATTTTTGGCAGTATCCAAGGGATGTGTCCCATGAGCTCCAGGATGTCATTCATCCCAAGAATGTCCCTGTAAAAGCCAAGGGAATTGACAAAGCTATGGTTGCGCAGTACACTTGGTTAGAACAGCCTATGTATGTGGCCCCAAAGTGCATGACAGCTTCAGCCTTTCCAAGTAGGCACAAGAGTCAGCTTATCAATGTCAGAGTTGAATGCGATGGCATGCCCATTACAGCTATCGTGGACACAGAATCCCAGCTTAACATCATTTATGAGAAAGTCTGGACAATGTTAATTGGAAGGCTCATGGATGTCACTCGATGCATTGTCATGGGCGATGCCAATGGTGAAGAAGGTATCTTGCAAGGATTTGTCCCTGGTGTACCCCTAATATGTGGTATGATAACTACACACACAAGTTTATTTGTTGGAGACAAGGCGCCATTTAATCTGTTGCTTGGATGCTTCTGGCAGCGCGGCAACTACGTCAGTATTGATGAGCAGCCAGAAGGGACATACTTGCAATTTAAGGACCACAACTTCGCTGTACGCTACAAGATGCTAGCCACACCCAAAGAAAGCTTGGACTCAGTGTTGCTTGAGTACCTTGAGCGAACCCACCACATGATCAGCATGGTCACAGATGGCGAAGTAGCAGATAGTTTGGACAAAGACGACACTGAATGCCAAGAGACATGTATTGATCAAAGTACAAAGAAATCACGGCCAAAAAATGAAGTATCTACCAAGCTCCAGAATGTAAAACAACAGCCTGGACAATATAGCGATGAGGAAAGCATTGATACGGTGAGAGAAGACTCATCTAGTAGCACCGAGCAACTTGAGTATGATAGCAACGGAAGCAACAGTAGCTATGCCAGCAGCAACAGTGAGATATTGCACTGGCTGGACTTAGACAATGCTGAGAAAGAGGGTTCAGAAGATTCAGATGAATGCGACTCACCTAGTCCCTCAACACAACACCACGAAAGCAAAAACAAATCATCCGGCGCTAATACACAAAGCAGCGACAGCGTCATAACGAGCACAGACACCCGAGGTGACTGTTTCATTATAAATGCATTTAGTGAGGACAAATGTGGTACATACTGGGATTGTCAGCCAATCCTCATGAACGAGGACTCCTGCATCTCTGAAAATGGACCTCTATCGTGGGCGTAGCCCCGGCCTCCTATTTTATTTTCCATTTTCCCCGATTTTCTATGATTTACCCTACGTTTGTACGGCCCTCCAAACGTCGTCGGCGCATTGGCGCCAGTTTACAAATTCTAGCCGCGCACTAACACCTTGAGAACACATCACTGACAAGCATGCATCAGCGCATCAACGCACCCATATCACTGCCGCCTCATCACCGCATCACGCTTCCTCGGCAACAGCCGCACTCCAACCTCCACTGGACATCTGATCTCTGTCGGTCCGACAACATCATACACTATGACACGCCGGCCCTGTTTATCCCTGAGTCCGATCAGCAACGGATATCCTATCTCCGTCGGCCCAACAACATCATATGCTATGACACACCAGCCCTCGCTTCCCCGCCAAAGTACCCCAAACACTAGCAGCCGCTATAGCACAGTCGCTTATGTAACATCTGGTTCGTGCGCAGCCTGACTAGTATATAAGGAGTTCCTTTGTCGCTACCTAGCCCCCATTTCAACCTCTTAGTTAATTGGGCTAGGTAAGCCTTCGTTTGTACTTTAGTATAATCACTAATACACTTGGTTAATTGGGCTAGCTAAACAAGCTAATACACAGTCGTCAGACTTTGTCAGCGCCACCTTCTGATTAGATCCATGCAGTATCCCCTGTGGTGTGTCGACGCAAGTCCACATCAACCTCTTAGAGGAAGCTGGTGGAGTCGCTTTGTCAGCGAGGCGATGGACCAGGTTTGATTAATCATGTGGTAGTAACTACTACAGTGTGCGATGTATTACCTACTAGTAACCGAGCTAGCAACTGCGTAGGGCCTGTAAAGCCTGTCTGGCACCTCTCAGCATGCTATATATAGTGCTTCCATCAACTGAGCTTGAAAATAGGCTGCATATGTAATATACCACTGAATTGAAAAAATGACTAAGCTAAAACATTATCTCAATATGGTAAAGCATCTCAAAATATATGATATGTTTTGAACATACCACATATTGAATGTTTTTGCATCATGTCATGGAGAACACATGTACAAACAAGTTCTCCATTAGTAAGCAGCTCAGCAAAGTAGTATTTGGGCTGTTATTCACAAAAAACTCGCCAGAAGCTAGCGAGTTTTTGGATATATATGGTAGGATTTGAAATAAGCGCCAGAGCGCGGGAAACCAGCTTCTGCAAGCTATCACACCTGTTCCCCTTCCTTCCCCCCTCATAGAATTGTCAGGGCAAGTGTTAGAATAGGTTCTAGTATACTTGTGTGGTGTATATCTTAACCCTCATGTCTTCCTGTGGTGTATACATTATAATAGGTAACAAATAAGCTTTAAAGTGAAAAAGGGCACTAGAAACAAATGGTCCTGTACCTTGTATAGAGCTTGGAAGAAAGTCGGATGGCTCTAGACATATCTATACATGTTATGAAAGCACGGGGAAGCAATTTAGAGGCCAGAATAACATGCAGAGATGCAGGCAGGAGGTCAGAACTCTTATTGCACTCATGATAGCTTGGACACTGTTCTCAGCCTTTAGTAATGAATGTAGCTAGGTACAAATAGTTGTGCGGATGTCCTAGCACTAGTAAATAATATATGCAGCTCTGTGGAGCCTTATCACACTGGGAAAGAGCTAACCTACACTCAACATGGGTATGCAAACAGGGCTTAAAAACACCACATATGCAGATGTACAGAAGCCTACAGGCAGAGATAAGCTAAATGCAGCTACATACATAGTATTCAGACATATTCTGACCCTCCCAGGTGGTGATTCCCTTCCCACCTATGCTGTAGGAGCTAGGCACACACCTGTGCACAGATGGTGGTTTTGAACTGGTCAGAACTTCATCAAGGTGTCACTCCGGGGTTAACTGATGCACTGCTCCACCAATACATGTTCCCTGGACCTATAAAGTTGTATACCCCCGTTTTGATAGGCTGGGAATCGATTGGAAATGGTCCGCTCATCCGCTTCTAAGTGGTTGAGCCAGTAGGAGGTGTTTTCGACAAGATCAGCGAATAGGCGCCCGTAAAAAAACACTAAGATCTGCTTAATTGGACGGCTTCCAAGGCCTGGGATGGAAAATAAACCATAGCCGTCTTATCCTGGGCTAACAGCGACACTCTCCAGCATATGAAAACATCTGATATGTGTCATTTTATTTGCCAAACCTCGCAGGCTCTACAGAGAGTTTGTGGATGCCTCAGGCTCCCCACACCCTTGGAAAGGATTCTAGTGCCATATATCATGATTGAATAACATTAGAAGAGCTGTAGGAGCTTTGCAAAGAGTTTCCTGCTACTTTCAGGCCCAAAGAAATCGATTTGTAATAGAAACAAAAGTATAGTATATTATACAGCGGTTATATTAACTCTAAACTGCACATAACTACTCTACATAGGTACAGGTACATATGTCAGAAGGTTTGGAGTTTATTGGACAAAGGGGAGGGGAGGAATTGAGCCAAGAATGGCCCCAAAAAGCGAAACTGATGTAGGGAGCCAGATAGCTGGGTAGCAGCTTGGTGGCACTTGATGGAGCTGATGGGGCTTGAGTCTGCGCTATATCCGCAAAAACTCGACTCTTGCGAGTATTTTGTGAATAGTGGGCTCAATATTGGTTTCTGACATATGTTTAGTATAGCAAATATGTTCAAACATATATTCTCCACCTTCCCATGTCATAAAACAAAAACAAGCGCCCAAAGCGGTATGTTATGGCATGTCTCCCAAATGTGGTCTATATTTCAATCCCAGTTGATGGAAACACCATATATAGCATGCTGAGAGGTGCCGGAGAGGCTCTACAGGCTCTACGCAGTTGCTAGCTCAGTTACTAGTAAGTAATACATTGCACACCGTAGTAGTTACTGCCACATGATTAATCAAACATGCACCAAAGGGTGTGTCAGCACCCTGAAGGATTAAATGGTTAGCTCAACTGAGAGGCTAAACCATCCCAAAATGCGTGCACAAGCACTCACTGTCGAGCGCAATGTTGTATGACCTGAGCATTGGCGGTTTTGGACGTGGTGCTTGGCAGCTCTCATGGTCAGCGGACTTCCGCAGGGCATAGCTGAATGGGACTGTAAATTAGGAGCAACTAGCAAGGAGTCATCTTATAGCGTACCTAGAGCCTGGTCAGATGCCGGACTTATGGACGAGCAAACTGAATGCACAAAAGAAGGCAGTAATGACTCATCCAAGGAAGACATTCCCGAGCCTCAAGAGAATGTATTTGTGGCCATCGTCAATAAATAAAACGCAGTCAAGAATGCCCGCACAACGCGACATCAGACATGTGAACTAAAGAACATAAGTGCCAGGTATGAGTGACACCATAGCCGAGTAAGAAAAAGAGCAACGTACTATGAAACAACAGCTACGTCAAATGTTTAAACAACAGCTGCACGATGTTGAAGATGACAAAGAAGCAGCCAGGTACGCGCGCGATCGATGGAGCTTCCTGGTAGACAATCAGCGACGTCAAGCAAAAACTTACTATGATTAGAAATGGAATAAACTGGCCCAAGAAGTCTGGGATAAAACATGTCAGCTGATCAAGCAAGAGAGTGATGAGATACGTACTATGTGACAGTGGTGGCTTGTGGCTGCATCTGAGAGCCAAGACAGTGAGGAATCTCAGGAATGGAATGGTTGTGCCTCACCGGCGGTCTTCAGTGCCCAAGTTACGGCTGACATTACTGAAAAGAGGCCTTTGACTGTAGAACAGCGAGCAGATCAAATGGACAATGCACCAGATTGGCCAGACCCTTTTGAAGGGGTGCTGTTTGAAGTGCCTAATGACCTACAGGTAGAGCAAGCTGAGACGGAAAGCAAGGACAACGGAGAAAGTACCCTGGATGAAGTTCCAGAAGCAATTGGGAAGCCCAAAACCAGGCCAGGCATAATTTTAGAAGAGGGCAGAGACAAGCCAAGAAGTCTCTAGCAGTGAAGTTAGGCTAGGTTCAATGCAACAAAGAAGCGGGAGTATACAGACCTTCAATTGTATGGCTTACAACCAAGGACAACTGCAACTGTATGCATCGGATGCACAATCTTGAGGTGGATGAGCTTTATGAGGCATTCTGGCGGCAGAGCTGTAAGGCAGTAAAACAGGCCAGTGAACAGCAACACACTGTGAAAGGGAGATATGCTCAAATGTACTGCAAGGCTGATGCTCAAAAGCCGCGCCAAAAGTCCAAAGACTCACAGGAGTGCCGTGAGGAAATAGCAACAGTATTGATGATGATGTGTGAACCTATCGGGCACAAAGGTCAGCTCTTAAACTCCTTATTTGAGAACTCACCTCTTTGCAATTCAGCGCCGGACCCCTGGCACTTTTCACTGTGCAGACGAGCCCTCGCCTGCAAAATTGACAGTTTGAGACGCCTCTTGATGTTGGAAAACTGACCAAACAGCTGGAGATTATACTAGAAAAAGGCAATATAATAGAGAAGACTTATCAGGAGGCAAAAGAAGAGTGCAGCAAAGGACGACGTGACCACTGGTACAATGCAATCGAACACAAGAACAGTGGCGGCCTTCTATCTACAATTGAAATGAAAAGAATGTCAGCAGATGACTTGAACGTTGCAATAGGAGACGATGACGGATATAACTCACTGGAAGCCCAAGACAGAATGCGAGGGCGGCCGAGTCGCAACATTTTGAACAACAAAGAAGTCAGTGACACTGAAAGAAATAAAAGGAGAGACGAATCATCTGAAAAACTTGTCTGCCCCATTCTAGGAGCAGACACCTTGCTACCAGCCTCTGCTATTGTCCAGCCCCTCCATCAGCCATGTGCGCTGCCTGCCATGCTGTCCGATAGCCTGCCGTCTCAAGCTGTGACCAACTACGCGACGCTGAACTATTACGTCAAAGTACCAAGCCTGTTAGGAAACTATGTCACTGGAAGACCAGTGACTTACCTTGACTTGCGCACTGTGTGCTTGACACTGCAGCATGCTCTTGAGCTCGCTGAACTTGGCCAAATGTGGATCACCAAGGTCAACCGCAAGAGCGTCCTTTGGCTTTTTCCAACGCGCTGCTGCCTGAATTGCCCCAAGATGAGCTTTCTGCGTGACAGAAGAGTGACCCTTTGCCTATCACTTACCTAGCCGATGACTTTGTTGTCATCTGGCTTCCGTTCAACAATGGAATGGGAGGTACCGTCCTCAGAATCACACTTACCGTCAACATGCTCATTAGATGCACCCTGCAAACCATGTACATCAAGGAGGGCAGTTTGCGCTCCATGGTACTGGCAGATGAGCACATCATCGGGTTGATGTTGGAAATTAAAGGCCTTCTGAGTAAGTACTTTAGCCCCCTCAGCAGCAAAGAACTTGTGCTTACCTATGAGCGTTTGCTCAGGCACTTAGGTGCGCCTTTGAAGTCCGCCCTTATTGAGATTATGGATGACATGCAACCAGGTTTACTCTTGGGTGGCAAGGAGGAGGAGATTGAGTGGGAGGAGATGCCTAATGGCATGTTCAAGATCAATCGCGATGAAATTAGGAAGGGGATGGGCATACAGGAGGCATGAAACATATGCCAGGAAATGGTGGAGTGGCTGCTGAATGAGAAAGACAACGATGAGAGGAGAAGTACTCACAGCAGTATTTCCAGCCTAGAGTCACTGCTGGCAAATGAGAAGAAGCCTAGCACAAGTGTGCCAGACATTGAGATGGAATAAGGCAAGCTAATGGATGTCACCTGTGATGTCAATGACTCAAGCATCTAGGTCGTGGTCCACAGAGTGCACGAGGCCATGAGCAGCACCACTCTCGAGACCCAGATCTTTGGTGTCTGCCCTGCAGATGACGACATCAGCGATCTGATGTTAGTAGATGCCTTGAGCGCGCACAAGTTAGAGCCAAAAGCCAACATCTCTGTGGCCACTCTTGACTCACACGCTCTCTTGTTCCAGCCAATTTTACTATGGCCTCCCACTCTTCAAGCCGCGCACAACAACTTGCTAGTCGCTAGAGATGACAACAACGACCGCACATGGGCGCAAGCCCAGCCAAGTATGCACTCACTAATGACTCAATACTTCAACCTGTACCTGCGCAGGAGCCCGGAGTTGCCAGATGGACAATTCGACTCCAAATGACTGCCCCAAGTTCTTCACATCTCAGCGCACAACAACAATGGCATCATTTGCCCAGACACATTCATTTCTCACATCTCTGCCACTGTACCGCTACTCAGAACTATGAAGTTTGCACCTGAGGCCAATGATTTACCATTCCCCATGTCCAAGAAGCTGCTGCCCTTATTGCAGCTGGCTATGGTTGACACCGGTGCCTCCACTCCAGACTCTATGCCGGGTCTTGAACCCAACAGCCCTTCGTCCAAGCCGACCGAGTTCATCTCAAGCAGCCACAAAGACAATAGCCCCGAGATCATCACAGAACTTGAAGCTCAGATGTGTTTTTGCAAGTCTGTCAAATGAGTCAACAGCATCTTACAAGCTACGGCCCAGGTGGAGTGAGAACTTACGTCTATGGATGTTTTGGACTCAAGCACGCCAGCCTCATCTTCGCTGCCTTCTGAATTGAGCGACAATGTCGAAATTTACTCGCAGGACCTCCAGGAAGATGACGTATGTGGTGCACACTGTAAGTACATTGTTGAAAACTCCGACAGTTGGCCAACATTTGCCCTGTACAAACTCGACATCAATGCTAAAGTCTTCCATTAGTGCCATACACATTCTTGCAAAGACTATGCCCAATTGCATTAACCGTGGCCTACCCTTGTGCCTTTCCAACCTGGCGCAGGCAGTTGACAAGTTTGACTGCACTGGAGATGGCGGTGCCATGCGTCTTGTGGGGGCCTGTGCAACACAGAGGCATCTTCTCAAAATCATTGACAGCGAAGTGGACCTCACAGTTCCATCTGGCCTCCTTTTCGTTCATTGACGATGCCTGCTTTGGCAAGCTGGGTCATGGACTCACGGTGTCATGTGTCATAACTATAAGTATAGGAAAACTAAAGAAATAAGCTAGGTATTCAAATAAAAAAAAAGAGACTGCTAACTCAGAGCTGCAAAGTAAGCATAAACACTCAATCTTACTAAAAGTGAATCAATGACTAATAATATGACTCAGCTTCTTAGTAATCTAAAAACTATGCTTAGTAAAGGTCTATGCTCAACAGCTATAAATTACCAAAATATAGTAATACTCTAATAAACATTAGTAATAGCTTACCAATACATTAGTAAAACAGACAGAAAGCTGACTAATACAGATAAATGCTTATTGATAAAAGTAGAAGTAGCTTAGTAATTACAGTAGAATAGAAGAGCCAGTTTTGCTATTGGCTAAGGAACAACAGGCTGAAAGGTATAAATAAGAGAGGTTCTCTGAGAGCAGAGAAAGACACCACCAACCCACCAAGCACCACACACACTCTCAAGGATTTAGCTAGCAGCAAACCTGCAGTTAATCCCCTGAGCT